AAAAACTACAACACATATTAATTCGGCATTTAATCACCTTCGAAGAGAAAAAAAAGAGACGCTTAAATTTAATTCACATTTAAAATCAGCCCAAGTTATTGGAACACTCTTTATAATCTCGCAGATCATTGCGCGTGTATACGTGTTCGATTCCTATTGGGTGCATTATTACGGCGCCAGACAAAGGACGTTAAATATATCGGACGACTGGTACAGGATATTGCTTACTAAATTGGTTTCGCTCTAGAATTACCTGCGTAGGGAGTTACTGCAACTCAAACAGCCGTAGCGAGAAGGTAAATTTTAATGGGTCTTTGGTTTTTTTTCATATTATTATTATTATTATTATTATTATTATTATTTTCTCTGTTTATTTTTCTTGAGGGCCAGGTTACGTAATAACTTATTAGTAAATGTTTACTTCTGTTTTCCCTGTCTACATTACGGTGTTTTCTTTCCATTTTGACATCGGATTTAACGGTAGCGCCATCATGCATTTAATGCGTTCTATTTTTTCACTCGCGTCACCTGGTTGTTTTGAATTAAATACGGTCTTTCGTATTGCAGATATTAATTTATGAGCTGCTAATTAACACTTAACGGATTGTGATGTATCGCCTTCAAAATGATTTCTTAACGATGCTTTCTGAAGGACGCCTTTCTCCTTGTCATTTTCTGTTTACCCATAAGCATATCGAAAGGCGCTCCCACGGCCCTGAAAAATACGCATGCGCATACGGGATTAGACACCTCGCCATTAATGTTTAAAAGCGTCACGCCCAATAGCAGACACCCGTTTACTCGAGCAAAAGTCGATTTAATTTTCTGAGTTTAACTTTGAGAATTTTCATTTTGTTTATAATTTCAAGTCGCTTTAGGTCGTAGGTAATGTTCCTCCAAAGATTTGTTTTAGTTATTATTATTATTATTATTATTATTATTATTATTATTATTATTTCCTTTGATTTCTGGTTTATACTCATTTCATTTGTCCCGAGCAGAGATCTAAGGTCAGAAATGGCAACATGACATTTTCCACTGAGCAGTTTAAAACACACACACACACACACACACACACAAATCACGCATATTTTACATAGATAAAGCCCTTCGTAAGCTGTGGGCTGTACTTGTGGGAAGAATTTTTTGTATTTTATTAAGGCATGGACTTCCAGGAATCCCTTCAATAAGTCTATTGGAATCTTTTCTAATCAAGCCGAGGTCTCCAACTATTACAGGAATTGTTGATGTTCTCATGTGCCACATTTTTGAGATTTCGATTTCAAGGTCCTTGTATTTTGGTAGCTTTTTGAAGATCTTCAAAGATACATTGCAGTGTGCAGAGACTGCCGTGTCAGTAAGGAAGCATTTTGTCTTTGAGGTCTCTAATCACGATGTCAGGGCGATTAGGTTTGGTTGTTCTATTTGTGTAATGTAAAGTCCCATTAAATTGTCACAGGTCCTATCTCCGTAACTGGGTCTGGGTAGTGTGCGCACTAATTTCTTGCAGTTTCCTTTGCGTAAAAGTTGCAGATTTTCCAGTGCAGATATTGGACCACTCTGTCAGGCCGAGTTTTATATTCAGTTGGTGTCAATACAGTGGAACTTGATACAAGATGGTCAATTGTTCCTGGATATTTGTCACAGAATCTGCATTTTGGGTTAACACAATTTTTCAATATGTGTGCTTGGTAAGCATTGGTCCTGTGCAGCAAGAATAAAAATACGCAAAAACATTGGTTTCAGCTTTCAACCCTGCACCACGTAGCCACTAATTGGTACGGGGTTTGTCTACTTCAGCTTATTTGGTACGGACAGAGTATTGACCATAAAGTGGTTTATCTTTGCATTGTTTTTGTATCGAGTCGGTTGCATTTCCCTTTGCTTTCTTTTTTAAGTATTTTGCAGCTGCAGTCGGTGTATTACGCTTTACCTGCATTTCTTCAGGCACTTGAAATTTATTATTATTATTTTATTTTATTTTTTTTTTTTTATTTCTGGCGTGTACACATTTCTTTCCGGGTCCCGCCCAGGGACCTAAGTTTAGAAATGGCATCATGACACTTTCCACTGACAAAAAAAAAAAAAAAAATTACATGGATAAAGCCCTTCGTAAAGTGTGGGCTGTACTTGTCAGAACAATTTTTTGTATCTCCTTGAGGCATGGATTTCCAGGAATCCCTTCAATTAGTCTACTGCAATCTTTTCCAACCAGTCCTAGGACTCCAACTACAACAGGGATTGTTGATGTTCCCATATGCCACATTTTCGAGATATCTATTTCAAGGTCCTTGTATTTTGACAGCTTTTTGAATATCGTCAAAGATACATTGCAGTCAGCAGGCACTGCCATATCAATAAGAAGGCACTTTTTTGTTTCTTTATTATTATTATTATTATTACCCTGTTATAACTGTTCATGTCCCTCCCTTCGTTAGTTAGTACGACCGTTATGCCCGGCCAATACCGCAAAGATAATGTAATATTACTACTATGGATGGCCCACCAAAATATTACCAAAGACAGTTAAATATATATAGTTTTCAAAACATATAGAGAAATGAGAGGAAGAAATATAAAATATTTGAATGAAAGCTTATTCTGTAATATACTTTGACCATTTTAATCCTGAAATAATAATGCAAAATGAAATTTGAGCTGATTTAAACCGAAGGGTGCACATCCTACGCACACCCCACCAAAATATTACCATGCGCCTCACGTTGAGAATCATTGCTTTACATTGATAAAATCGGTGAATCCATTTAAAGAATGGCTCATGATTCTCAGCTCAACTGAATGTAATAACTTCTCTGACCTCTACAATCAGACATTGTGGAGACGCTATAACGACAGGCCAAAGGTCAACCATCGATGCAAGGCGAAAAGTAGAATCTGAGTTACCATAAACTCAACATTAACCTTTGCTCAGTCTGCACTTTTCTTGTATGGCGTCAAACAGGTTCAGAAATATCTAAATTGTCAGCTGCATGCAACTGCTTTCTAAGATCAACGGTTAGAAATGAATTTAAGCGAGTGGAACAAATGAGTTTTCAATTCTTCTTCACATATAGTGCATTGGCGCTACAGAATCACAAAGAACTGTACCAAATAGCAGAAGAAAAGATCACTTGAGGAATTTCTACGAGAGCATTAATTAAAATGGAAATCACATGTAACTCGAACGAAAAATATAATACAATCAAGATGTTGAGTTTCCACGCAACCTTAAAGTAAAAGTAAGGAAAGAAATCCCAGCAGTACTAGAAAGAGCTATAACAGTTAGTGGACTTGAGAAAAAAATGATGTGCTAGAAAATGTTTATGGATTACAACTGGCAGTAACACTACTATTACTATCGAGTAAGGGTATAAAGATGTACTTAATTTTGACTAGTTTCTTAGCGTTTCGACCTCTGATGGGAGACTAAGTTAATTTTGACAAGACAAAGAAGAGGGAACCCTATATATTTATGCAAATCAGCCTAGGTATAGAGAGTGACAGAACCATATGCAATCGAGAATGAACATGAAATTTGTTTAACTTTCTTACTGTCTGCTCTAGTATCTGTAGGCATTTAAGATGGTTCCTTTAGTGGACACAAAAAGAAATGAGAGAATTTTTCCTATAAAGGTGGCGATAGATAAATTGTCGTCTAAATGATGTAAAAGTGAAAATAACACTAAAATTTCATTTTTATAGATATATTTATCAAAATGACTTCAAAAATATCTTGAAATACGAAATCGTAAATTCACTCAGTATTATCGCCATTGGCTTTAACCACAGCCTTCAGACGACTTCGGAATCATCTGCAACTCTTCTGGACGGTATCCTTGTTTAAGTTGGTGAATGCTTCCATAATCCTTGCCTTCACTTCATATTTGGTGTTACAAAGAGTTTTGTTGGTCTCGTTCAACTGCACCCACGCATAATAATTAAAGGGGTTGCAATCTAGGGAGTGAAGGATGATACGGTCATAGAAGTTGTCTGACAGCCATGACTGGGTTCTCCTGCTTGTGTGACATGGTGCAGAGTCCTGTTTCCAGAGATAGGTTCTGGCAGCAGCCACCGTCTTGACCTAGAGCAGCGCTACCACCTCAAGGAACTTGATGCAGGCCTCCCTAATGAGTTCTTTTCTTATCGGAACGATCAAAGTGAGTTTTCATGGCTGCCATACCATTGTAATTACCATTAGACTCATCCAACTCTTTCCGAATTTGCTGCACTGTCTTCAAATGGACACGCAAACACACTGATATGTTCATATTAGAACTTCCGGCGCGAATGCCAAGCAGTACAGAATGACGTTTCCAAATTTCTAGCGGAGTGAATTTCTTCATGGTGCCGTTTTTCTCAAAGACGGTGCCTAACTCACTCTACTATACTGTGCCGTCGATAAAATATAAGAAAATAATCAACGCGCATGCGCGAAATTAAAAAAAACATAAAATGGCGACATCATGTACATTTTGTTTGCCTCGTTGTTATTCGCATTACTTCTACGGTTATACAACTCCTTTTTTTTTGTCTACGGCTTCTTTTCTCGACGTTACACGTACGCATGGACGTGGTCTTTTGAAAACTTTGTATTGCTCGACCAAGCTAAGATAATAACGAAGTAACGCAATGTTGGCAATTCTTAGCGAATTTCTATCTTTCTTTGGGTCTGCCTTATTATTTATTTTTTTATCCCTGACCGATTCTAGCCATTTTTCCTCTTGGCTCAATCATGTTCACGCTCTCACGATCAGGCTTCAAATGATGGCTGGCTGTTATAAAGGCACGACAAGAACAAGCAAAACATTCCACAAATTCTACTCGGCGCAATGTGTCGTCTAACCTACCCCGTTTGCCTTCACCAAAGGTCTCAGGGTTTTTTTTTTTTTTTTAATTTTTTTTTTTTGTCTTTGGGGATTGTGGCTGGGGTAGCGATGGGAAATTCCACAAGAGGTGACAGAGTTAAAGAAGAAAGATAGATTGCATGAGATATTAATAGACTAAGACAGACAGACAGACAGAGAGACAGACAGACAGATAGATAGATAGATAGATAGATAGATGTGAAGAGAACATGCATATATAAAAAGAGAGTTGTGAAAAGATAGATGAAGAATAAAGTAGAGAGGCAGAGAGAGATAAGAACTGACAGACAGACAGACACACAGAGAGTGATGTAGATATGAACAGAAAGTTGCAAAGAGATAGATATTGACTAAATCATAGACATATATATATAAAAATATATATATATATATATATATATATATATATATATAGAGAGAGAGAGAGAGAGAGAGAGATAGAGACAGATGACAGATAGATAGATAGACAGAAGAGAACATGAGATAAGGGATGTGAAAAGATAGATAAGGAAGCAAGTTGGAGAGAGAAACTAAGACAGACAGACACAGATAGATTAGAATATGAATAGAAAGATAGATAGATATTGACTAAATCAGAGACATATATATATATATATATATATAGAGAGAGAGAGTGGAGAGAGAGAGATAGATATGGATAGACAGACATAGATATGTATAGAAATAAATGAAGAAAAGTAATATGGCAGATAGATTAGAATTGTCATAGATAGATAGATAGTATCCAAGGTATGGTTAGATGCAAGAGAAAAGTGGATAGAAGCAGATATATAGATTGACATAGATATATATAGAAATAAATGAAAACAGACTAAGATAATGAATAAAATATCGTGTCAAAGATATATGAGGAAAAGAAGTAAATATGAGCTGAATATATATACACACACACACATATATATATACACATATAAATATATATATATATATACACACACACATATATATATATATACAGGTCATATCTACTTTTTTTTCCCTATATATCTTTGAATATATACATATATATATATACGTCATATCTACTACTTTTCCCTATATATATATATTTGATATCTTTTAATATATCTATATCTATACACACACACACACACACACACACACACACACACACACACACACATATATATATATATATATATATATATATACAAACCATATCTACTTCTTTTCCCTATATATCTTTGACACGCTATATATATATATATATATATATATATATATATATATATGAGAGACAGAACAGATGTTGGATTAAAATTCCACTGTTCTTAGCATTTACTTTTTAAAAAATGCTCAATACAAAGTAGACCAATATATTATTATTATTACATAGTCACTACACAAAAGCTTTTATGTTTCGATACTGTGATTGTACTTCTTCAGGCAATGGTAAGTAACTGGTTATTAAATGTTTTTTTAAGAAAATTATTATTAAATATTATTACCTCGTTTTCGAAAGTTATAGAGACGGGACATAAGGTCAGAATTTAAATTAGACTTGTGGGTATGTCTTGATTAACCAATTAAATGTCAGATCTACGTTAAATAAAAAAAAATATATCCTCAGAGGCTGGAAGTGGGTGAGTTATTTTTTTCATGTCATGATAAACTTGAGCATAAACAGGCCATCGTTAGCGATTACGGAAAATCACCTGAAGGAGTACAATCAAAGTATTGAAACATGAAATCTTTTGTGTAGCGATTTCAATGTTTTTATTATAATCTTTTATAATTATAATATATATATATATATATAAATATATATATATATATATATATAAAGACATTTTTGTGCTTATGCATTCTTTTTATAGATAGAAATATTTAACTAAATGCTCTGTTTATAATAAACAGTATTAACAACATTTACCGGTTCGAATGTCCGAAATATTCGTCCTCCGACAGGAATCGAACCTGTATCCTATACGGAACCGTTATATAGTCTGATGTACCTTAACCGATTGAGCCACAGAGGATCGTCCGGTTAGCAAGGTCGATTTTACTGCTTTTAAACTACAATCTTTCATGAATCTCTCACGTACATTCATATCTGCTCAAAGCTCTGTGGCGCAATCGGTTTAGGCACGTCAGGCTATATAACGGTTCCGTATTTAGGGAGAGGTAGGAAAAGGTCAAACCTTATTAAGAGCTACAAAGGACAGGAAATTGTGGAAAGCCATGATCACCCACGTCCTGAAGGGACATAACGCACAGAAGATCAATGGAACGTTTTTCACCGCGAACGAGAAATTTGCTGGAGGTAGAGAGAGAAGGGTCATGATAGTTTAAGGGGGAGCGGGAGAAGAAAGGAACGGAAAAAAAAAACCTGAAAGACGAGAAAGAAAATAGAAAAAGGAGAGAAAGGACTAGTAAAGATGAGAGAGAATGGTAGACAGTGAAGAGATAGATAGATAGATAGATAGATAGATAGATAGATAGATAGATAGATAGATAGATAGATAGATAACGAAAGGACTGACGTAGATAGATAGATCGATAGACCGGTCGATAGACAGATAATAAACAGAATGAGATAGATAGATAGATAGATAGATAGATAGATAGATAGATGGATAAACTGAGATAGAAAGATAGGTATGAATAAACTGATAGATAGATAAGTAGTGAGATAGATAATGAACACACTGAGATAGATAAATAGATAGATAGATAATGAACAAACCTATATAGATAGATAGATAGATAATGAACAGAATTATATATATATATATATATATATATATATATATAGATATATATATTTATAGCCTGAGATAGATAGATAGATAGATGAATAGCCTGAGATAGATAGATAGATAGATATAAATAAACTGATAGATAGATATGTAGTTAGATAGATAATGAAAAACTGATAGATAAGAGTTAGATAGATAGATTGATAGATAGATAGATAATAAATAAACCTAGATAGATAGATAGACAGATTATGAACAGAATTTTATATATATATATATATATATATATATATATATATATATATATATAGATAGATAGATAGAGAGAGAGATAGATGATAGATGGGAACAGCTTTAGATAGATAGATAGATACATAGATAGATAGATAGATATATATATATATATATATATATATATATATATATATATATATATATATATATATATATATATATATATATAGATAGAGAGAGAGATAGATAGATAGTTAGATAGATAGATGGGAGGAAGGGAGCGAGAAGAGATAGTTTTACTGGATAAATAGCTAGCATACGAGGCAGCCCACCTTTTCTGAAATGCCACGGACAACTATTAGCCGTCGACCCAGCTCCAATTAAATGCTCTACGGAAGAAACAACACCTGGACTGCATAAACAGTCACTATTGCTTTCTACGTCACCAACGCCATCACTTCATCTCCACCACCACCCCCGTCACCACCACAAGAATTACTAACATAAAGACGAGACTTTTAACGAGACTCTAACAAACGAGAACGCAAGTTGTTTGGTTGGAGTGGGAGGAGTGGCCAACGGTAAACAATTCAAGGCACTCTATCTCCCATACCGAGCTACCCTTAACTTTTTACACCTACCTATTGCCAACCAATACTCGTTTCGCTATAACCTAGGCCTCCCCTGCCCTACGGCTGGCGTGGGTTTGATTTGGCGGCTTCGTTTACGAAACACGGCCCTCGCATCGGATGCTACTGAAAATGTCGCCGTCAGGGTGGGGCACTGTCTCGCATATATGATCCACAATTTCAAAATGTTTACTGAGTCCCTCTCAGATTTTTCTCAACAGGTTAGCTTTTAGTAAGTGTAACATAGTTCGGCACAGGGCCATAAATATGAGGAACCCAGTGAAGATCGAACTAACTAGTCGTTTACAAGCTTTACCAACAAATCCCTAGCTGAATCCACAAAAAAGTTAGCGAAAATAGATAAAAAACATGCAATGATAACTGCAAAAATTGCAATATGAGCACTGGTAAAGAATGATAGCTGAAGACATTAGCTTTATAATAGCCAGAAATTCCTACACAGATGTCCTCAAGGACAACATGGCACAGTTGGTTAGATCCAGTGACGGGACCCAAAGAGTGTCAATACCCGGTTAAGGCAGTGGAGAACTTTCAGAGGGAAATTAGCAGGAAATAACTGACATCCATTAGACATGGCGCGTGGAACTAGAACAGTCTACCCCAGTGAGCGCAATAAAGGGTTAAGTTCGACATTCCAACTACCTGAAGTAGGCCAGAGCGTACAAAGGCCGAAACGTGGCGACAATAGTCAGAAAAATGTAAATAGTGGTTTTTTTTTTTTTGCTTGACAAAAAATTTGTTAAAGTTTTCACGACAGAAAATTTCTAAATAAAGGTTATAGGGTCCTAGAAATGTGTACCCAGAACGATTAAATACCCCCAATCCCACCAAAACACACAAAAAAAAACAAAATATATATTCATAAATAAATAAATAAAATTAAAAAAATAAAAATGACTAATCAGTTTTCTACGGCTTTGCAGGTTATTTAAAGCTAGAAAATAATTACGGGTTGTAACAATTTTATTCTTTTTGGATAATGTAGTTATACAAGTTTTACTAATTAACCCATAGTTGGGGGAAGAAGTAGTGGGATTCATATCTTTCACAAGGTTATTTGCGCGTTAGGGAATATATCGAATCCAACACTTCTCCGGTTAAAAATTATCTATCTATCTATCTATCTATCTATCACACACTCTTCATTATCTATCTATCTATCTATCTATCTATCTATCTATCTATCTATCTTTTCATTATCTATCTCTAGGCACGGTGGAGTAATGGATTGAGGAATCGGAGAGCCGAGTTCGAATTCCAGTCGAATCCATTACATTCACTTACGTGGGAAAGGTGTGAATCCTCTCTCTTCTCCCTCCAGCTATGGATAAATAGCAGGACAGACTGGGTTCTATAGCCTTGGATGGCAACTGGTCTAGGAGAAAGAAAACTCTGAATTCAAACCTGCTCTTAGAGGAGGGTGAATGGAGTCTCTCTGAGCCTTGGTTGGCAACCATTTAGTGATAGTGTCACGATAAAAACACCCTTGATAGCCCTAGCGAAGCATCAAGAATTCAGCTACTTGACAAGA